TTCAGAGATTTAGTTCATTATTGTCATGGCCAGAAGCACGGTGGTGCTCAGGCAAACATGGTGTTGGAGCAGACAGCAGCAAGTGAAAGTCACATTAGACTTGGCTTGAGCATTTGAGGCCCAAAACCCTGCCCCTAGTGATGAACTTCCTTCAACAGAGCCATACCTACTCTTACAAGGTTACACTTCCTAATAGTACCACTCCCTAAGCCTATGGGGGCCATTTTCTCTCAAACCACCCTAAGGACCTAAGATGCTAACATGTCAAAGCATAAAAACAAGGTTATGATCTGTACATGTTTACATAGGAGGTTTACTTCAGTTCAAGCTTAATGCAATATAAGTCATGGAAAGGATATTTTAGCAAGGTAGCTCTAATTGACAGAAATTACCTAATTACAACCCACAAGCCATCCTGCAGAAAGTTGTTTATTAGCTTTAAGATTTGTGCTTTGTAATCAAGATTAGGGATTGAATTTCATATCACACTCGTGTTTTCTTTTTAATAAGCTGAGGTCACATCCTGGTGGAGGAGAATCACACAGGAGTTCAGCAATTGCTCTCTTCATTATAGAAGGCTTTGCAAACCACTTTCTTGTTTTACTCATTGTCTTAGTTTCATTTCCTGTTACTGTAATTAAAAAAATACTGTGACAAAGGCAATTTAGAAAAGAAAGCATCTATTTTAGCTCATAATTCCAGGCTAAGTCCACCATTGGACAAATGTGAATCAGCTATTTGAAAGAAGAGAGAGAATGAACACATACATACTTGCTGAGCTCAGTTCTCTTTCTCTACTCTTGTCCATAACAGTCCCTATCTAGAGAATGGTGCCATAAAAACCTTTCCACTGACTGAGACAATCCCTCACAGATTTGGACAACCCCATATCAAGACTATCCAGGTAATTCTCAATTGTGTCAAGATGATATGAAAGTTGCCATCACATTCATGTAGTATTCATTTATATGTCTAACCTGACCCCTAAAGTCACATGAGCTGAAAACTCCTTTTGTATCTACAAATAAATTTTATTGTGAAGGAAATATTAGCAGAGTCTATTACTGACCAGGGTATCATTAGAGAGGTTCATTTTTTAAAAGTTCCATTTAGTTATCGTTCATCCAACAGGAAGATGTGGAATATAAGACTAACGTAAAATTCTAAGATAAATCAAATGATAAAAAATTTGGACTTTTTTCATTGAAGTTATATTTAGTTATAGATCTGGAGGAATTACCAGGATAACAGAGAAACTTGACAAAATACTGATAAATTTTAAATAAATAAATTCTAAAGAATATTGATTACATAAAGGATCTCAAAAGATGGGTGATTTAAACAGAATATATAACAATATAAAATTTATGACTGAGAAATGAAGTTAAATGAAGATAAAAGATTATTTTATGAAATAGCAAGTATTTGATGACATTTAAGAAGGCACTTAGAAGGGATGGATACAAAGGCGGAGGAACATTACAGAGTTAGATGAAGAGAGGAGAGAACATAGGCAAAGTAAATTATTGGTACCAAGAATATGCTGGAAATTAGCTAAATTGGGCTCCCCAAACAATATTTGCTACATAATTACCTTTTGTTCACTCATCAGAACTACATACAAGTGACTTTATGAGGCACCACCCTTCCTAAGGCTCTATGGACGAAGATAGCACACTGACTAAAGAACACAGAGAAATCAAGTTGGAAATGAACAGAAAACTCCTTCCCTGCTGACTGGCATCCATAGTAACATATGGTACTATAAAAGATGTGAATGAGGAAAAACTTATCAGTAGTTTCACCCACCTATAGCCATCCTTGCTGCAGTATCAACCTACCAGGCAATACATTCCCACTGGTACAATAGTAACACAGTTGTATCGGGGGTACCCAACTGCTTTGTGATTAGATTGGAGGCCCATTCCATTGGAATAATACATATCTGGTTCTATAAACCTAGTCAAAGTCTTGGGTTGAGAAGGTCATGGGCCCCAGAAAGGAAAACATTACTGTGTTTCTTTAAATGAATATGTTGTTAAATGTACTTCTAAATTTTTATATTTATATCAACAGATTAGTGCTGGAGCAAAGAAGTTCCTTTTTGAACAGGGTTACAATGTATAGACTTATATCTGGTAAAGGTTCTGAGAATAAATGACCACTGAGTGTTCAGTCCTTACTGGGACATCTATATTGTTCCCCATCGAAGGCCCAGGGAATATGGTAGAAGAGGAGGTAGAAAGCACATAAGAAGTTGTCATGAATCACTGCCACCCAGAGACTACTCAGCAATTGGAATCAGGAACACAGAGAAAGGAATATCTGCACAAGATAGTCTTAAATGTCATGGAAGAGGGCAACTCCATGAGACCCCACCCTCCCTAAGGAGCGGTTGATTTTTAACTATTGCAATACTATTGCAATAGAAGGGTGACTATTTTATTTAATGGAGTATCCATTTGGGGAGACAAATTAGGAAGAAAGGATTCAGAGGGAAAAGAGAGTGCATAAAAGTGGACAATGAAAAAGAGGAGGGTAGGAAAGGAGAACATGTGGGACCAGGAAGATTGAGTCGGGGAACAAATAGACGAGGGTGAAAAAAAGAGATACCATAATAGAGGGAGCCATTATACGTGTGAAGAGAAAACTTACTCTAGAGAAATGTCCAGAGACCTACAAGGATGGTCCTAACTAACATTCTGAGCAACAGTGGAAAGGCTACCTTATATGCCCTTCCCTGATAATGAGATTGATAACTAACTTATATGTTATCATACAGTCCTCATCTAGTAGCTGATGGAAACTGATTCAGACACCCACAGCTAAACACTGAGCTGAACTCCTGGAATCCAGTTGCAGAGAGAAAGGAGTGAAAAGAAAAGAAAAGAAAAGAAAAGAAAAGAAAGGAAAGGAAAAGAAAAAGAAAAGGGGTCAACACCAGGCTATAGAAACCCACAGAGACAGCTGACGTGAGGGGGAGGTAGTGGACATCCACATTGATAGTTGGGAAACCAGCGCTGCACTGACTCAGACCCCTGTACATGGTTCTCAGTTAGAAGGCCTGGGCAGTCTAAGGGACCTCTGACAGTGGAACCAGGATGTATCCCTGGTGCACAAAAGGACTTTGGGAGCACATTCCCCATGAAGGGATATTCCCTTAGCCTAGAGGCAAAAGGGAGGGCCTAGTCCCTACTTCAAATAACTTGACAGATTTTTATGATCCCTCCAGGAAGGCCTCACCCTCCCTGTGGAGAGGGCAGGGGAATGGGATGGGAGGGGGGAAGAGGAAACTTGGATCGATATGTAAAATAAGAAAAAATAATAAATATATATGAAAAGAGGGCAATGAGTGATAAATATAATCCCAATATATCATATATTTCTAGACATTCAAATGATGCATACATATATATGAAACTGTCAAGAATAAAAACTTTTCTTCAAAAGATACTAGAAAGAATGCAACTTGGAATTCATCAACATAAATTCTGGTATCAGAACAAAACTTGGTGAAATTTTCATAGCATTATACTTTCCAGGAAGGTATATTCAACTACAAAAGTCATCTTTATTTGGCACCTGATCTCTGTGACAATAAAACTACAAAAAGATCATATTTTGATTACAAATCATGATTTATTTTCCAACATTAAACTCATGATTTCAGTTATAAATGATTAGAAAAGTTTGTGGATTTTGTCTCCTTTGATTTTGTTTTTCTAATTTGATTTTCTCTGTGGAAATAACACTGTTTTCCATGGAAGCAGATGATCTTTGTACCACTGAAATCATGCAGTAACATTCTATAGGGCCCTTTATGCATTAAATAATCCAAGAAAAGACAAATGAAGCCATGAGTTTTGTGGGCCTCAGTTTAGGGATATAGTGCTCACTGCATCCTTTTGGGAAGCCACTTTACATGCTTTCCTACAGTTTTGAAATTGGGTGGAAAAAATCTCATGGAAAATTCATGTTCATCAGATAAGGAACAAACAAACTCAGTAAAAGACAAATAGAGGGTTTGAGTTCATTCTCGATTTTCCTCCAGTGGTAAAGCCCAACTTAGATGACTGTAGAGATACCCTGGTTTCATTACTGCAGCTGTGAAAAGAAGCAGGGTAAAACCTGCCATCCAACTGTGACACTAAAATAAAAATTGAGTAAGCAATTTTTATAGTACTTTTAGATGAGTGCTTGTAATTTTAAAATGATATTCTAATCAGAGTAAATTCTATCCCACTGTTATAGAGACAACAACAAATTTTTAGTTGGCTCTTCTTCAAATTATGCAGATACATATGCACTAGAATCTCAAAAGTCTCTCTTTGTTGATAAGGAAATATGTTGCTTATTGAAAGATAATGGCTCTCAAAAATATTTGTAATGCATTCTGTAAAATGCATATCATAAACACAACTTGGTTTCCCCTTCATATGATTCAGGAAGAGATCTCAAGTTCCTGCCAAGTCCCGAAAGCTGAATTGAACTGAAAAAGCAAAGTTGCAGTCATCTTAAAGAATATCTCCACTAACCCACTCTTAAGGGTTTTCCCACAGTGAATTCAGGTGTGTGTGTGTCTCTGTCTCCACCAAAGTAACAACAGTGACAACAGTAACCAGAGGTGACAATACTACTAGGAAGTCTTCATTGCTGATTCACTGTTGGTACAGGTTTAAAGATATCAAATTCCTTCCTCTGATTCGAAAGAAAACTGTCTGTGCTGAGATTAGAAGTCCTAGCCCTCTCGTTTGAGTTATACAGAGACACTTCACTTAAGGAGCACAGCATGCTCTGATTAAGATCACACATACATATTAGAAGCTTACTCAATCCTACAGCGGATATAGACAGTTCAGAAATCCAGCTGGAACTTGTTGAATGCAACAGCTAATGATCTTAGTGTGGGCCTGACAAGAAGGGTCTCTTTTATTAGAAGGTCAACTTTTCAGTAAATTGTATGGTACTTAAATAAAACCTGTGCACATGTGATCACTTACCCCTGCAAGGCTTTCTCTCCAAACCAGTCTCCCTTCCCCAAAGTTCTAAGAAAGATTGGGTCTTCACTGGGTGAGTCTTCTCGAGTAACATTCACCTACAAAGAGAGACAAGCGTCTAAATCAACTGCATGTTTGCAAATCCCATGCTTTCCCAACAATTTTTTTTCTAAGCATTTCATCTTAAAAAAAAAAAACAAAACAAAACAATGCATTGTTAAGAAATAAGAATTTCACTTAATATTCACTGCTACTCATGATTTTATTACCCTCAGTGAAGCAACCATCCTGATGATTTTAATGATGTATCCCGTCAGTGTTTTTCAATAGTGTTTCCTTGTTGTTTGGGGAAAATACAGTTATTCTAAATAGTACCTTTTCATTTTTCATTCATTCAATTCTTTGAGGTATAGTAGTAATAATAATAATGACTGCCATCCAGAAAGGTTAAATAATTAAAATTCACCAACCTGAAAAAAGCAATGAAGTAGAAAACTAATTTACTGAGACAACGTCAAGCACTTAAACACATTAAAAACAGCATGCTTTAAGCTTCTCAACCTAGACATTGGACATCAATGAGGAGAACTTTTATTAACATTAGGAAGGTTTGTGCAAGGTAAAGGGAATTCAATTATTATTCTCCACTGATCCATTTGATTACTCTTCTACATGGTGTTTCAAACCATGAAAATTCAGTTTTAACTGTCAGTTACCACTAAGCTATATCATAGAAATACTAATTTGCATGTTGATGAGGCTTTTATAAATGAAGCAGTTGCAGTGGGGAGTCTTATTTAAAGTAGAAGTGACTGGTTCCATACTCTCAGGGGCTCTGATTCATTCATGTTAATATAAGCAGCTCAAGCTCATTTCCTCTATTTTCATAGCATCCTATTACATAAATAGTATGCAGCTTAGCAATTCCCTAGATGCAAATATAGCTCCTAGTTTTATTCTCATATATTGTTACTATGATAGTATTAACAACATTTCTACAAATATTCCTGTACTTGTTTTCTGGCACTAATAAATAAGGGTTCAATAGGGTCAGTGCTCACACAAATAAAGAACACGTATGAACCAAACATGTTTAGTTTTTCAGGTGTTTACTCCTGAGTGAGTACAAATATCTACTTTCACTATCCATGAATGAAATATATATTTTCCTGTAATTAGCACTTATCATTAAAAGGTTACTAGTTTTCTAGGAATATGGGGATTGGAGAGCATTGTCCAGAAGCTAACAGAAGAGGAGCATTTGTTTTCCAGATTATATTTGGTTTGTATAATTATATCGTTTATCCAGCTATCTTTTTTGACTCTTTTTCTGTTGTATTGCCTCGCTGTAAATACACTGATGAACATGTTTTGTTAGAACTACACTTTCAATCCTCTAGGATAAATTGAGTATGAGGCTGCTGGGTCATATGGAAAACTTTTTAAGCAGACAATTGTTTGTCAGAATATTTTAATTTTACCATCTAATTTTGCAATCTTTGCCAATAATCTTGGGATTCTACTTGCTTCACTTTTCACTAGAATTTGGTATAGTCAACACCCCCCCCCCCAATAGCATGTAGTTGTGTCTCAACTTCATTGCTAAGATTTACTTTTTATTTGATTTTAATGATGTGTGTTTGGGAAATGGGTATGTGGGGGCAAGGGCTATGTGTACATGACAGCAGGTGACCGTAGAAGTCAGAGGCATAGGATCCGTTAAAGATGAAATTACAGAGAGCCACCTGATATGATGTGAGTAGTGGGAACCAAACACTTGTCCATTCCAGGACAGTGGGCTCTCTTGACAACTTGTCATCTCCCCCATCCCATATCTCCAGGTTTTGATTTGAAATTTAATAATCCTGTTCAATTTTTGGAACATTTCATTTACAGAGAGACAGGGTGTTGACTTAACACTGTTGGGGATATATGCAGAATTATTTAATGCCTCTTCCCTTTGCTGAAAATGCCATGTTCCCAGGGAACAGAAATCTACCAACTAAAACAGAGTGAATTTACTTTCTGTGTTAGACATTGCTGCTCCAAGCACTGAGCCCCAAATTTTAGGGGGAAAAACTGTAAATTTCCATTAAGAAAAAAAATTAAAATGTTTATCATGTTTCTCTTTTGTGTGCATACATTTACAGGAGTAATATGATAGGAGATGCCATTCTGTAAATATGTTTCACGTATTGGTTAATGAATAAAGCACTGTTGGCCAATAGGCAGGATTAGGAGACAAGGAGGAGAGAGGAAGTAGTAGGGAGGAGTTCCAAGATGGAAGACAGAGAAGATCACCAGCGCTTCTCTCTGGTAAGATAAGACCACATGGAAGTACTTAGATTAATACAAATGGGTTAATAAGACAGAGCTAGCCGATAAGAAACTAGTAACTGGCCAACAGAATTATATATTAATACAGTGTGTCTATGTGTTATTTGGGGATGGCATGGCAGAGGTAACAAGACTGGCGGGGGGAAAAAACCACTCGTAACAGGAATAAAACGGGGTTATAGTTATACAAATAGAACTGAACAAGGAGAAATGCACTGTTACTCTGCAGCCACTGTTGTACGCCTCCTCCCATCACATAGCATGTTTTCTTTTTTAAACTTAAATTAGAAACAATCTTGTTTTACATATCAACACTAGTTCCCTCTCCCTTCCATCCCCCTCATGCCTCCCAATGACCCAACCCCCATCCCATCCCTCCTCTGAAGTGATGAGCAAAGCGGTCAAGACCAGGCTGGAGAAATCCACAGAAACAGCTGACCTGAACAAGGGGGAGCTCATGGACTCCAGTCTGATAGCTGGGAAAACAGCATAGGATGGAACCTGGCCCCCTGAATGTGGGTGTCAGTTAGGAGGACTGGGAAGTCTATGGGGCCTCTGGTAGTGGATCAGTATTTATCCCTAGTGCATGAATGGACTTTGGGAGCCCATTCCATACAGAGGGATACTCTCTCAGCCAAGACACATTGGGGAGGGCCTAGGCCCTGTCCCAAATGATGTGACAGACTTTGATGATCTGTCATAGCCTTTTTTAGAAAAGAAGTCTTTTCTAAAAGTTTCTAAAAAAATAGCTCTTATAGGCTTATGTGTTTGGGTAACTGATCTCTAACTGGTAGAACTGTTTGGGAAGAATTAGGAGGTGTGACTTTGTTGGAGAAGATGTGTTACTGGGGACCAGCCTAGAGGTTTCAAAAGACTTGGGCAATTCCTGATGTGTCTTGGTTTCTCTGCTTCCAACTTGCAAATGCACCTGCAAACTCTCAGCTGTTCAGACCGCCATGCATTTGCTCTGCCATCATGAAATCTAACCTTCTGAAGCCATAAGCTCCAAATTAAATGTTTTCTTTTATACATTACTTTGGCCACAGTGTTTTATCATAGCAATAGATAAGTAACTAAGACAAATGTTAACAAAGAAAGTATCTTAACAAGGGCTGGTGTGAGGGCCCAGTGAGTAGAGCAGTCTGATGACCTGGGTTCAAACCTGTGACCCACATCATGGAAGGAAAAAACCAACCCCTATAAACTGTCCTCTGACACACAGCCAACACTACACACACACACATACACAGTGATATCTGTACATGCACTCAAACAAAACAAATAAAAGTCCAGTAATATTTTTTTTTGGAAAAATCCTTTACCAGGGTTACTTTTTATAAATTTTATAAATGCATGGAGAATTTTTTACATTGGTTCATCTACAATAAATTAGTTTTATAGTGAGTTTATTGACAATTCTAATTATATAGCTTATTTACTGTGAAACCACTATTTTCTTTCCTATTCCATACAAAATGAAGTGTGCATACCCTCTGTTTCTTACACTGATTGTTGTTGTTCAAGACAGGGTTTCTCATTGCTTTGGAGCCTGTCCTGGTACTAGTTCTGTAGACTAGGCTGACCTTGAACTCACAGAGGTCTGCTTGCCTCTGCCTCCCGAATGCTGGTATTAAAGGCATGGGCCACCAATGTATAATTATTAAAATTAATAAAATTAACGTAACAATTGTCAGAGTTGTGAATCATAGCAACTAACTTGTGTGACCCTAGAAACTAAGTAAAATTCTATACTTGGTTTATACAGAAACTTGACTGTGTCAAAGCAACCTAATATATTAAGACTATTTCTCTTGCAAAATTCTAACATTGCATCAAAGTACTGCCAAAATAATTTGGCTCCTGTGGTATTATCTCCAAGTGCTTCTATTTATACATGCTACAGAACTCATAAAACAGTACCGCTAATGCGCCTGTTTTAAGTTAAAATGGGTTACAACCTTCTTCCTTCAAGAAATACTGGCAATTTGCAGTAAATGGGACAGTCATTAATTACTGTAGGGTGTCCTTCCTAATGGCTAAGCATTGCTACTCCTTGGCAGTAAAGAATTAGAATTTGGAAAGATAACAAAGTCAGACTCCAGATCATCAAATGGTTTATAAGCAGGAATATTTTCTTTAATCTGATTCTTTAATCAGTGTTAGTTCACATAGAAGACAGTGAGTGACAAAGTTTGCCAGTTTGTTATATAAATCAAAGCACATTAGCATTTCCTTGACACTAACATTGGAAAATGCAAAATATTTTAAACATACCTGTGTTTTTGCATGACATTTCATTATTCCCTTCATTAAAAATATTACATTTTTATTTATTTACTTATTTTGTGTGCATGTGAGCAAACAGATGGACATGCATCTGCCATAGTTCCAAAGTATCCAAGTGGAGGTCAGAGGACAACTTGTAGTAGTTGATTTTCTCTTTCTACTATGTGCATCCTGATAATTGAACTCAGGTCACTAGGTCTTGTTACAAGCACCTTTTCCTGTTGAACCCTTTCCACTGCCCCCCCTATGCTGTCCTTTATAAAACCAGTGCATTATGTGCATTTTTATCCTAGACTTCCAGATACCAAACAAATGAATAGATACAATAGAAACACATACAATTTGTGTATGGGATGTCATTGCTGTAAACATTGAGATATGTGTAATCTTTATCCAAAATTAGTACACAAGAATCACCTAAAATTTAAGTCACTAAAATTTAGAGTTTTCTACACTTCCTGTTTACAGCATTTCTGTAAGCCTTCTGGTGTAAATTCTACAGTGTGAAATTTAGTCATTTTGTAAAATATTTAGGAAATAAGTTGACTAATTATAATGTAAGTAAGGCATGTAAGTAAGTCTTCTCTACTTGTCTTTCCTTTCCTATCTCTCAATGAACCTGATACATCGAAAAAAAAAATCCCTTTTTAAGAATGACTACAATGAAATGTTAAGTTCAAGCGTTTGTGTAATATGAGGTTGGGGATTTGTCTACGTTTACTTAATTTCATAGTCCAAAAAACATAATAGATTCTCATTGATTTAAAGCTAAAATAGTATAAGAAGACAGTATGATCTTCCATTTATAACATTGGTCATATCTGTTTTTATCCCTCCCTCTATACCTTATCACTTTTACTAGCTTCTTGGTATTACACTCTCCATGAAGCTGCAATGCAACAATACAACATACATATATTTACATCAGCATTGCATTTAGAACATTAAATCATTGGCCTAAAAGGGGTAAAGTAAGTCAACTTTAGCGAAGATTTAAATTGGGACCATCTGATTCTAAAGCCCAAATATTTCATTATAAGAAGGTCACTGTTCTTAAAGACCAGATAGATTTAAGTATTGCATTGTGCAGCTTTGTTGATGGATGTCTTTCTGTTTACGCTGACTTAGCGGTAGCATCTAGTGACATGGCTGCTAATATCCACACAAAGTTACCAACTCCACTCACTCAGTACAAGACTCAACACATGCATTCTTGCAATATGCCACCCAAACGTACCTTTCCTTTGCTGATGATGAAGAAGGTGTCTCCTCTTGCACCCTGCCTGATGATGTATTCTCCATTTTCATAGTGGGTCTGAAAAACAGGAGCAGTGACATAAAAAAGACATTAAAGAATTTATTTACCAAACAAAACATGTTTTCAAACACTAGGCCCTAGGGAGATGTGTTCGTGCTGATAGGATTTTACCCATGTTCAGAATGGTATCGTTGTTTAAGAATGGATAACAGTTGATCAAGCCAGGAACGACTACTGTGTCTATAACATTCATTTATGAAGCTGTGGTGAGTGTCATTTTCTTCAGTAATTATATTCATCTCTTTGAGTTCATTATTTCAATTATTAGGCAAAACTTGTTTTTATCAACTAAGCATTAAGTAAAACAGCACTGCTAACTAAACTCATATTTGGGGATTATTTTATCATTTTCATTTGTTTTTAGTAGTTTCATATTAGCAATATTTTAAAAATAAAGAAATTACTGTGACATCCAAAGGTTCTCACTTGAATCCAGAACATCCTTTAGTGGCAGTTAGATGTCTCTAAATACTTTTTAAGGTACCACTTCATCCTTTAATATCTTACTTGAGCAATTTTCATTTGGCTTCATTAAACAGACTGTTTTAATTTTGTGATCTGAATTCTGGTCCAGGACCTTTCTAGTATAAACTGCCAGATGGGGAGGGAAGTAAGTCTGGAAGAGAATTATCATAGTCAGTGGGCCAGCATCCTGAGAAAGAGCTCACCACTACGTCTGTTCCCAGAGTGAAGATTACTCCTGCAGTGAACAAAACTAATTCCATAAGGAGAGGTGGGAGAAAATCTATCACTTGGTCAGGAGGCAAAATGAGTCCATGCCATCTGGCCCTATGCTCCTCTGCAGCTTAACAAGGGAGCTATTGGAAAGGAAGATATTACCTTGTACACTACTTCATGGTAAACACAAAATATCCATTACACTGCTGGCTGTAATTCCTCCTCACACATCAACACTATTTTTCTTAATGATTATTCTATTCTGTCTTAAAGTTGCTTTTCATTAATACTTGTCATTGAAAGACACCATTCTTCTCTCTAAGCTCCTAGAACATCAACACAGCACCTAAGCTGGCACTTAATAGTTCTCTCTCACACATAATTTATTTTCCTAGTAACAAGTTTTTGAAGTAACAAAGTTCTTTCTTATTCCTTTTTCCAATTTCAACTAACAGATGGCACAAACAATCTGGTGTGTGCCTTTAAAGACCATTTTCCTATGTTCAAGCACACATAAATATACACATGTAAATACACACACACACACACACACACACACACACACACGCACACATGTGTGTGTAATTGGCTCTGGGGTTGGAGAGATGGCTTATTGGTTAAAAGTGCATATGACTCTTGCAGAGGAATTTAATTTGATCTATAGCACCCAGATCAGGCAGCTCACAATCACATCTATAACTGGCTCCTGGGACATCCACCAAATTTCTAAGTAAAAAAAAAAAAAAATATATATATATATATATATATATATATATATAGAGAGAGAGAGAGAGAGAGAGAGAGAGAGAGAGAAAGTGAAAGTATGCCAATTGTTTTTCTCCATTTAATAAGATCATTGGTTTAGTTTTTATATCTTGATATTCTTCTCTGTTCTTTCTCCAGGGAAGGTTCTTCTCCTACCCAGGAAACACATGCTCCTATTGGTACGTCTATGACATGATATGAAAATTTGATTTATTATATTGCTCAGTTTTGAAAGTCTGTTCATCTTTAACATCTAACAATATCCCCTAGCACAAACTCTATTAGCAAGAATGGTAAAACATCTTATCACCATATATCACAAACTTCATCTTATTTGTCACTTAGTTTCTAACAAAAGATGTATCAAAATACACAAAGTAACACAGTGTGCATAACTCACAGTGTGCATAACTCCATGTCAGACATAAGCACAAGGTGTGTGCAAAACCTCTGTTGAAGAAACATCTTTCTTCTCAGAAGGAGGCCTTTGCTCAAATTGGAGGATCTTAACAAGACTCTGGATGTTTAAGCCAGAAAGAGCCACTCAGGAATATGAGAGCTCACAGCCCATAATAGTTATGTAAGACTATTTGGAGTATATTTGGGGGAGAAATGCAAATGACATGCACAAACTCTGAAGAATCCTTCACCTACCCTAGACACACTTCTTGCCTCTCTTTTTAAGACACATACATGCTGGGGGAGTGGGGGGATAATTTTATATTTAAGCATTTTTTATCTCACATTACTGATGAGAGATGTCATTCTTTAAATATGTTTCTTTTATTGGTTAATGAATAAAGCCAGGTTGGCCAATAGGAGAGCAAGGTAGGTGGGACTAGAAGACAAGGAAGATTCAGGGATAGATAGAACAGGACTGAGAGAGCACAACTCTTGACCCTCTCTCCAGTAAGATAAGACCATGTGCAAATACTTAGATTGATAGAAATGGGTTAATATTTAAGACAGAGCTAGCCAATAAGAAACATTAGTAACAGGCAACAGCTTTATATCTAATAAAGCGTCTCTGTGTGTTATTTGGAGCTGGTGCAGCTGTGGGACCAGGCTGTCTGGAAAACCCTCTCATAACACATTATTTTAATACATTTCCTCTCAGTTAAACAAAACATATCCCTATCCATAGAACAGTTGTTGCCTCTTAGTAAGTAAACATTATTCATAACCATATCAAAAGATAAACCAAACTAATGAAGCACTACTAAGCTTTCCAGACAAATGATTCTTTACCATGGGTTCTGTCCTGAATCCCAGGAAATGACATGGGACATCTACATCTTTGGCATCTATTGGCTAGACACCAGCAGCACCTTAGTCCCTGGAGTGTAGGAAAAGAATCTCCAGTACCATCCTTTATCACATTGGAGGAACATGAGTCCTCAGTTGAGAATAGCTGTTATCAACCTTTAACCTTCAGAATCTCTTCCTTTTAGTTGTGAGTTTGGCAGGAGTGCTCAGATACAGACCAGTTGTTAAGTTAAACCATTTGCATATCTTAGTATTGTTTGTTCTGGACTTCTCTTAAGGTGGCGCTCACAATTACCATATGTATTATTTGAGTTCACCTATACAGACTTTCACTGGACATGTGTCTCCAGCCTATATAAGCTCAAGAAGCACAGGAGTCCAGAACGGAGCCTACTGGGTAGGGACTGCAGCATGCTAGGTTTGGAAAAGGTAACACTGCAGTGTCACAACATGAGGACTATAATGACAATATTATCCTGAAATGTTCAGTTGCACATGAGGAGGAGAACGAAGAGAAGGAGGAGGAAGAGGAGGAGAATGAAGAGAAGAAGGAGGAGGAAGAGGAGGAGGAGAATACATGCTAATTCCTTGAGAGTCTATCTATTTATGTGAAACAAATGCCAGAAAATTTAGTATTTTATAAATACCATTTTGTAGTTCTTCCTTTGGCAAATTTCAAATTAAATCTCAGACACATACAGAATTAAGAGAGGGCAGAAACAACTATACAGTTTCCTTTTTTAAAAAGTTTCCATTTTTAATAGAATAAAACCCAATCCCCTATTGTGACCTGAACTACTGTAAATGGTCTTCTCAATGCTGCAGTTTCCAACTGCTTGTCACCTTTTCCCACTTTGTCCCCCACCCTGCTGCCTTCTCTATGTCAGTTCCTCAAATGCTCCACAGCCAGGTCTATAGATTCCCAGTTAGGCTCCATTCAGATAATCTCCCCTGGCCTCCCATGGGATTTCACACACGTTATCACACATGGGGCCTGGCTAAATTAGGTGTCATATTCATATATACATCATATACATATACATATGCATGTTTTTATAGTCCTTCATAATTCAATGCCCTTATTGAGCTTATACTAGTAATTTACTGTTTTTATAGTCCTTCATAATTCAATGCCCTTATTGAGCTTATACTAGTAATTTACGTCTATGATAGTTCTCTCCATATTGTAAGTTATATGAAGTCAAGGATTGTTTCTAGTTTTGTTCAATTTATTGATTTATCTCTTATGTCTAACCCATTGCTGGGAACAAAATGGAGATTAAAACGTTTTAACAGCTGGATTCCAGGAGTATGGCTCAGTGCTTAGCTGTGGGTGTCTGCTTCTGCTTCAATCAGTTACTAGTAAAGGCTCTAGGATGTCAATTAAGGTAGTCATCAATCTCATTATAGGGAAAGGCAAGAGGGAGGGGGGATGAGCAAAGCAGTCAAGACCAGACTGAAGAAACCTACAGAACAGCTGACCTGACTTAGTGAGAGGACATGGACCCCAGTCATAAAGCTGGGGAAACAGCATTGGACCGAAACAAGCCCTCTGAATGTGGATGCCAGTTAAGCGGCCTGGGCAGTCTATGGGACCTCTGACAGTGGAACCAGTATTTATCCCTATGGCAGAAATGGACTTTGGGAGCCCATTCCTCATGAAGGGATACTATTTCAGCCCAGATACAGGAAGGAGGGCTTAGGGTTCCCCCAAATAGTGTGATAGACTTTAATGATCCCCCATGGAAGGCTTCCCTATCCTTGGGGAGAGATGATGGTGGGTTGGGGAGCTTGGTGGGGTTATGGGAGGATGGGAAGTATTGGAACAGGGGATTGATATGTAAAAATAAGATTTTTTCTAAATTTAAAATATATATAAAATACATTTAAAATGTTTTAACAGGACAAACTGTAGATTCCATGATTCACATTTTTGGCATTTCTCATCTGACCTACTCACAGCCTCCTATTGCATCCATTCTTATCCTTGCAACTGAAGTGGTAACGAAACCATCGAAATCAGCACCTTACTGTAGTTTGTGACATTGTCTGTATTCTGACTCCTACTTATAGCTCCATCCTAGCTTTACCATGTCCATCGGCCATTTTCTTTCAGACATAGTAGCTTTGTTGTTGTGCCCTGTCAGGTCAGATCAGGTCCAGTTATAACTCCCTTCCTCAGTGTCTTTGTTCTCATGATGTTCCCACCTCTGGAATCTCAGCACATTCCTACTCAGCACATTACTAGCTGAGTCAACACATTCCACTTCCACCATCAGGGCTCCTAG